TTTTGCGGATACGAGGACAAAACTTGCACAAAAACATCGCACGACAATTCGATCGCTGATGTGACTTACTTAGGGCTGCTGGCTAATGCTGCGGTTTAAAACGGGATGAATTGTCACCTGGAGGTAAGAAACGAAGTTATGGGTGGACACCAGAGGTACAATTATCTGTGAGTAACAAAAGATTGCCTTCATGGGATTGTAAAGAAGGAAAAAGCTGTTAACTTGAATGCGGTACGAAGAAACGCGCAAGGCGGCGTGAAAGCTGATTCATGCTAAAAACGAAAAAGAAAAGTACGACGAGGTACTGTCGAATTTTCTGTCAGCAAAAAGGTAATCAGCAAATCATTAGCCGCCTTCGGAAATGGAAAGCGGACGGTCCTAGAATCGTGAAGGACAACTGTCAACTCCTTTTAATCAAGAATGAGGATATACTTCGATAATGGAGGGCGCACTTTGAGGAGTTAAGCACAAGTAATAGCAGGAAGACTCGCTTGAATAGCAGTAAGCAAAGGATATTAGCCTTTCAGTAGACGAAATGACAGAAACTGTAAAATGCTTGAAAAGTGGCAGGGCTGCCAGCTGTGATTGATTAAATCTGCTCTCAGTTGTTTAAAGTTTGATGTGAACAAGGACTGTTGTAATTAACAAGTGTCTGACAAACTGCAGTGACTACGGGGAGGATACTAGTGGCCTGGATAACTGGGGTGGTAGTACCCATGTTGTGGAAAAGAGATAGGGACTGCATCAACTGTCGCGGCATTATCATGCGTGCGATGATCGTATTTAAAACAAAAAGTATAGTGCTTTCCCGTGACCTTCTTCAGATAAACGGAGAAGCAGTGGAACAGGCAGAGAAATTCAAGTACCTCAAGGTCGTGTTTACCCGTGATGGAAAACGAGAGAAGAAAATCGACCAGAGAATAGGAATGGACTTCTGCGTGAACCATCTTCAGCTAAGTCTGAAAATAAAGCAATTTCAAGTTTTCAAGTCGATCCTGATGTTCATCTCTGATCATGAGTCATGGGCCATTACTGAAAAACTTCGACCTCTTGTAAAAGCAGCTGAAGTTGGCATTTTGACCTGAATAACTGGACACAGGCCTCTCCATATGATCCGCAGCATAGATATCTGAGTCTTCGTGTCTAGCCGCTGAGAAGTCACAGCTGCAGTGGTTTGGGTACGTCATTTAGACGTTTGCAGAAAGGAAGGCGAAACAGCAACTAACTGCCAAACCGACTGGCCGAAGATGCAGGAGACGGCGAAGAATAACTTGGGACAAGTGTCTTTACAGACTCTCTTCCCAACTCGAATTATCTTCTGCTGAGCTCAAACGTTGGCGCAGAATGGGGAACTTGGAGACGCCGTCTGAGACGTCTACCTCTTCAAACCGATATGCGATATTCGAAACTGACTGACTAAAGAAACGAATCGATTAGCTGCACAGGCTAAGGTGTTTTGCACGGGTCAAGGCAAGAAAAAAAACATAAAGCCACACTTACTCTCATAAATTCCTCGGGTGAGACATGTTTCTAGTCAAGGTGGAATCTTTCACTGTTCTAGTCTAACATTGACTCGCCAAAATTTGCTACCGTTGTGCTACGAGCTCTGAAACACCCTTCCTTTCAAAAGAAAAAGGAAATAAATATCTAACCGTTTGAATTCGGGTCTCTTTTTACACCTCCATGACAAACATTAATTGTAGTATCATTCCGTAGTCCAGCGCGGTGTGATCTCTATTTCGACACTAATTAAAAATGCGTTCTTTCCTTAAGGTTGCATCGACAGCTAGGAGACTAACGTAATATGTATTCACCTGCTTCTTTACAATCTTGACATTCGTCTTCTTCATAAAGAAGAAATGCGAGAGGACTAGGTAGAATTCGAATATGCCAACTTTCGACTTGAACTACACTGAGTATGACCAGATCCTAAATATCAATATTGCGTCCGTGAAAAGTTATAGTTTAAACCAGAAACCATCAAAGTATTCCTTCGCGTTCAACGATGCTAGATAACCTAGCACGAACTTAACATGAAGTTAACGATTTTAACGATCTAGAGCGAACCCGCTTGAGAAAGTGCCTTTACCATAAAGTGAGATTTGCCTACATTTGTTTATTTTTATTACAGTTTGGAATAGGATTAACAGATCATCGCTTCAGTTGAAGATCAACATTCAGCGCCGTAGATATGGCGGGTAGGACGATTGAACTGAACAGTTCTTTCGCTGTTCGAATGGACACCTTACTGCCGAGTAATACTTTAATATGATCAAAGCTGATCCACAGCGCATTCCTTCTTCTGCTAATTTTCCTTATCCAACGAGTTTATGCAATCTACCTGAAGGAAGAGATACGCACAGGGTAACTTCATCGAGTTCTTCCTCATTCGCTTAGGCACAGTCCTCAGCAAAGAGCTCGTTTCTCATCGATTTCGTATTGTTTTATTGTTAACAACCAATCGGCGAATGAAGAGCGTTTCTTCTTGCAGCTGATAGATCCAACGTCTGCTATTGCTGCATTGCGTCTTAGGAGAAGACGACGTAGTTATCCGCCGATATTAAGTGCATCAATTGCTTACGGTCAGTATTCTTACAAACGCTTAAATAATATACTGCGATAAACAGATTAAAACTGTGAAACTGATAAGTTATTGAAACTAAAAATTTCAACTCTTTTCCTCAATCCATTTGTTACAGGCTACATAACAGCAGAAACATGAGTAACCAGTAATAAAGAAATGAATCTTCAACCTCGAGTCTGCAATGTCCTCCAAAGCCGGTGGTTTCTTCAGCTGTGTCATTCTGTGCTTCACGATATTGGCGACTTTGAGCGACCTGCGAATACGGCGAATCCGACGGCTACAGTAACTTCTGAAAAGAAGCAATTTATTGACTTATCACGTAAAAATACTCGTCTGAGAAGTAAATGAAAAACTTTTTCTTTTCTGTTCTAAAACTATCACTTTTTTCAATTCCCTCATCGCAAATACAGAAAAATCAGAAAAGCTGAATAAAAAAAAGGATTTCCAATTTGCTACAATTTTGCTGAATTCATAGAAGATTTTTTCACTTCTAATTCCGTGGTAAAAAACTCCGCCATGGCCGGTCCCAAGCCCGGATGAGAAAGGAGGAGGGTTGGAGACCGTGGCAAGT